AGGTATTAAACTGATAAAAGTAGTACTAAACACTCCACTCCTATCTGGTGTCACATTAGCTTGACCGCGCAGTGCCCCAAATTTGCAGTAAGAGGACCGACCAAGCCTCCTCTTCCATCTCCCTGTTACAAAAATCAATGCCGTGTACACGCCCACTGATAGGAGACGCGGAAGGTATTAAACTGATCAGAACAATACCAAACACACCACTCCTTTTTTTTGGTGAGGCTTTACAGGACAGAGTGCTTCTCCACGGGACATGTTAACTCACGGGCAGCTGGCTCATCAAGAAACCACAGCAGCTTTCCATGTACAGGTAAGACACGTGCAGCCGGTAAGGGTTCAGGCTCTTCTTCCTGGAGGATACGCTGTAAGCCTGTTGAACGAGGTGACCTTGCTCGGGTCCCAGGTGTACGGTTCCTAAAATGGCTGCCATATACACGTCCACTGATAGGAGACGCGGAAGGTATTAAACTGATCAGAACAATACTAAACACACCACAAATAAGGTTTCTCCCCTGTATGGCTCCTCAAATGATGCTTAAGATTAGAAGCGGCTGAAAAGCATTTCTCACACTCCGAACAAAAATATATTTTTTTAACATTCTCTCCACTTTGAGCGAAATGACGTTTGGGAAGAGATTAACATAATTAAACACAGGCAGTAAAAATACAGTTTTTAGCCATACACTGTAACTTTAAAACTACACATCCCATCTTTATAATTACATATTTGGAATCAGCACACTTAAAACATAAACATAACCAAAAATCAGCCAAATACATCCAGGGGTTAAAAAGTTAGCTGGAGGTCCCTTTATGACCGAACGCAAGCACATTTTCCTGCCCAAAACAGTTTCATAGATTTGGGATGTGAGGTCGGTCTATTTCAGGCTGAAAAAACGACTAAGTCCCTAGCCGAATGGGACTTAGTCTCTGCAGCTGAAATAAGGCTGAAAAAAACGGCTGAAAAAAAGACTAAGTCCCATCGCCGAATGGGACTTAGTCTCTGCAGCTGAAATAAGGCTGAAAAAAACGGCTGAAAAAAAGACTAAGTCCCATCGCCGAATGGGACTTAGTCTCTGCAGCTGAAATAAGGCTGAAAAAAACGGCTGAAAAAAAGACTAAGTCCCATCGCCGAATGGGACTTAGTCTCTGCAGCTGAAATAATTTCCCATTTACTGAACCAAGTGGGAAATAGCAAGGCAGGCACAAAGGGTTTGCACCAGGTCTGGGGACACAGGGGACACCGTCTTAAAGGGGCCGTGTCCCCAACAAGTCTGGGGACACGGCCTTAAAGGGGCAGTGTCCCAATCTTCCTGATGTCCCAAAAAAGGTGTTTAAAGGGCCAGCACCAGTCACATAAAGAGTCCATAAGCCCCAATATGCCCACCGACAGTCTTAAAGGGCCATACACACCAAATAAAAGTGCATACATTTTCACAATCTCCCAGGGGCCATAGTCATGCGGGAGGAGGCTGGCAAATAGACTTCTCCACAACCCATGGAAGCAGGGCAATTTGCCATTTAAAGGGCCCGTTACAAATAGCAGTTTGTAACAAGGTGTCAATCCATATCTGCCAAGTGACCCTATGTAGGGGGAACAGTCTCTATTCTGCTCTGTGTCAGTGTGCATCAGGGGCTCTGAGGACAGGTGTCAATCCATATGTCAAGGTGTCAATATGTCATATGTCAGGTGTCAATCCATATTCATTGTGATTTAGGAATGTTAGGTGATTTCTGCCCTTATGGATTAAAACCAGACTCTGTATCAACTGTGTAATTTTCCATGGGAGTTTTGCCATGGATCCCCCTCCGGCATGCCACAGTCCAGGTGTTAGTCCCCTTGAAACAACTTTTCCATCACTATTGTGGCCAGAAAGAGTCCCTGTGTGTTTTAAAATTCGCCTGCCCATTGAAGTCTATGGCGGTTCGCCCGGTTTGCCGGTTCGCGAACATTTGCGGAAGTTCGCGTTCGCCGTTCGCGAACCGAAAATTTTGTGTTCGCGACATCACTATTCCTGAGTGTTTATTTCTGGTTATTGACTTTGGCTTCATTTGACTTCCCAGTATTCTGGTATCCTTGACTTTTGGTTTTCCCTCATTCTGTGTCCCCGACCTCGACAAGTATTTTGACTATTCTCTGGTATGTTAAGTCCGGCCATTCTAAGGCCCGGTAATACGTTACCTTTAGTCCTAGGTGTGATACAGTTTTGTGTGCTTGATCAACTAGTATCCTGATAATAGCTCATTTAGCACTAGCATGAAATAATTTGTCGTAAAGGTGGGCTTAACACAATCTGGCCATGTGGTGGAACTGAATCCTCATATTTGTTGAGCTAGGTAATCTTAAGTAGCCTTATAAAATGTAAAACTATATTTTTTATGTGTACGCTGTTTGTTAGTCTGTATTATGTATGAATTTTGGTCTCTACAGCAGCACCATTCCTGCAAAATGCATGTTCTTGGTGTGCCCCAAACTCCCTTTTTGTCTTCACATGCAGATGACACAAATACACACATGCAGATACACACTGTCACACAGACACATAGATACATACACTGACACACATGCAGATATGCAGATACAAGCACTGAAACACATACAGATACAGATACACATACACCCACACTGACACATACAAATAGGCACACTGGAACACATACAGATGTAAAGATAGAGAGATACAAAACACTGCCCCACATGCAGATAGACAGACACAAAGACACACAGATACAGACATGCATACACACACTGAAATACATGCAGATACAAAGAGACACACATACAATCACTGCCACACATACAGATACAGACACACAGATACAAACACTGAAACACAAGCTTATACATATATACACACACTGCCACACATGCAAATATACAGGGACACAGATACAAACACTGACACACATACAGTTGCACAGGCACACTGATACACACACACTGACACACATGCATATGCACAAATACAAACTCTGACATACCGTGACGCATACAGATACACAGACATCCAGATACACACACCCACAGATACACAGGCATACAGATACTCTCAATGACATACAGATACACACATGCACCTACAATGACACACAAACAGATACAGACATACAGATGCACACACTGACACATACAGATACACAGACATACACATGGACATGCATAAAAATACACAGACATACAGATATACAGATTCACAGACATGCAGATACACACAGATACAAACACTACATACATACAGACACCAAAAAACATACATGCAGCTAAAGATATTAGAGACCCTCCAGCAACCTACATTTTGAAACAGAAGTATGGCTATTGCAGGCTGAGGCTGTTAGGTTTGCTCTCCTCCTGGTCCACCCCCTTATGGTTCATGCCCCCCTGCACCCCACCCCATCCTGCACAACTGGGTCTTTGTCAGCTGGGAGAAAGTGACCATCTCTCACTTCCTCCCAACTCTCCCTGCAGATTAGAAGTGGCCCGGTCATGATGTTACAGTACCACAGCACACGACCTGGCGCTTTATGGCACATATCTATCAGTTGTATAGACCACCCAATGGGCCCGTCTACAGTGCTTTTCAACCTGTGCAGTGTGGCTGCACTGTCAGGACTGCCATTAATAATTTGTTTTTGCATACCACTGGGGAAAATGGATTGTACCACTGGGGGTACACATACCATTGGTTGGGAGCCCCTGCAATAGAGGAAAAGTTAGATGGCGCAGCAAATATATATTTTTAAAATATTATATATTTATTAAACATATAATATATATTTATATATATATATATATATATATATATATATATATTATACGTTCCTCCTACTTTTCCTCTATTGCTCACTTC